ACCCTCCCGGGTGGCGGTTAGTATGCCTGCCGACGCTGCCCATCAATGACGTAGTGCTGAGACCAGCCACGGAGGTACCAGTGTACCTGTTCCACCGTAGGAACGGGCCAAAAGCGGCTGGCATCCTCAGCGTCAGGGACGCATGTAACGACTCTGTCGATCGGCACTCGGAAGTTGTCTCGAGCGCTCATGACTGCCCAAATATAGCCCTCAGCGCGTGAGTAGCCATTGGGGCGAGGTCGTCCAGGTGCGTAGAGGTTGCCGGAGCTGTCGTAAGGGAACGAATACCTGAAATCAGGATCATGATTCTGAATGTGATCGTCCAGAATCTGCAGCAGCCGGTCACGAACCTGGAGGATACGGCCAATCGACACATCGCCTGCAGACCTGGGGACGTTCTGAAGCCCAATGAACTGCTGGCCATGGTAGTCGTCACCTCCCGGTGGCGTTGCTGGGGCCGGGATCCCTCCCTCCGGTGCTGCAGGAGCAGCAGCGTCGTCACGAGTGCGACTGCGTGTCCGCTCTCTGGGTGCAAAGTTGCCGTAGGTGCCGGCTCTGATTGCATCCCACTCTTCGGCGGAGATGTACTCGGTGACATGACGGACTGGTGGTGGAGGAGGCCTTGCCAGCAAAACTCCGGGCTGATCCGTCTCGATCAATGATGGTTGTCTCGCAGAGGAGGATCTTCCACGGCCGTGACCCACGAATGGACTTGCCGATCGTCCTCTCCCGGCTTTGGCCTTCGGCTCGGTGTCGGCAGCGGTTGGAGATCGGCCTCGCCTCCCGGCGGGCGGTGCAGAAGCACGTGTCTGCCCTTCGGAGCGGCGTAGGCGCCTTTCCACATTAGTGGGATCTCTTCTGTAAGTGCCAAATCTTGTGTTATCGATCATGGCGAATAGCTGCCTTTCCCCCAATCCTGCGAGGCCCTCGGGAATATCGTCGAGAGGCTTTGTCAGCACGATGGTGGGTAACTGGAGCCGATCATCTCTTTCCTTCTCTGGCACGGATAGAGGAAGTTGACTGGTAAAGAAGTCAGCAAGCTTTGCGAGCAGCAGACTGACCTCCCGGTCGTCAAAAACATACCTCTTACGGTCGTAGCCGAGGATGGTGAAGGGATATCGGGGCCTTGTTTTGTTGACCGCATGGAGGATAACTGCCATCTCATCAATGGTGAAAAACTTGTCCTGGAAGCTGATGAGGCAGCCCTCGTTCAGAGAGATCTCCCGATCGCCGTTCTTCCACGCCATGGCGATGCGACCATCTGGATGATGTGTGTCGCGATCGTCCTTGATCATCCCCGTGTCAGGGAGACGAACAGCCGCCAGGCGTTCAATTTGGGCGAGAGAAGTGATACTGAGTCCCTTGGCAGCGTAGTTGTATGCCTCAAAGGGTCGTTTGTGCATCACGTCGGAGACGGTGGTGTCATTGTTGTTGATTGATTTCTTCTTCACCTGGTGACACCTTTGACGCAGAGTGGATCCTGCTGAGTTCACATCGCGGAAGTCCCCTTTCCGTTGATGAGAGCGAAGGCGATTGGTATTGATGTCATAATTCGGGGACATCTTCACGAAGTCAATCGGCCTGCCCTCCCGGGCGGCGGCAGCCTTTTCCTTGAAGGTGGAAAGGGCATTAGCCAAGTCGCCTTGCGGTTCGAGTCGGTGACCGCAGTGGACGCAATTGATCATGCCGTCCACGTTGATCTTCCTGCACTCGGGACACGCAGGCTTTGGAACCAACGCGAGCTCATTGATGGACCACAGCTTCTGCTCGGTTCTCTGATGCGGCTTGAGTCCTTGCCTCAATCTCGCTGGCCACGCAAACAAACCAACTCCCCAGTTGGCGACATACACATCCTTGTTGGCCTTGTTGGTCTCCTTGTAGATGGCGTATCTGGAGTCTTCAATCAGATAGGAGTCCAAAGGCAGTTCAGGTCTATGCAGCTCCCGCCGCACGTTGCCCCGAGCATCCTGAGTGGGGATCTCAACCTCAAAGGCGGTCGAGGCCACCAAGTATGGCGTGCGGTTCTGGACAACGTGCTGTGCTGCAGTTCTGGACCATTCAAGGAAGCGCTCGTTGTTGTCAGAGTAGAGCCAGCCATCAATCAAGTTGCCATGTGGGCTTGTGCGGATGGCTTCCTCGTCCCTCTGATTGAAAATGGGAAGAATGTGGCCGTGCTTCTTGAAAGCGTCTACCGCCTGCTTGACCCTTTTGCGGAGGGGTTCGTACGCACGGTTGAACCAAAAAGGCTCTCCCGAGCCTCGATGGTAAGCATAAATGAGATGACGATTTGAAACCCAGTCGGCCGTTTGCAAGACGCCAATCTTGGTTTCCATCACTCTGCCACCCTCGAGTGCGTGAAGCTGCAGGTCGATGACAAATTCGATCTCGGCGGTCTTCCTGGCGCCGCTATTGTCTGTGCGAATCCACTCAGGTTCAGCGGACATCATCACGAAAACGCGGCCAGGACTCCCGTCCGCTGAAAGGCCACCTGG